CAGTTGTCTTTTTCACTCAGGAGGGAGGCACAAGTTCCCGAATGCTCTGAACTCCAGTTCCAGGTGAATCACTGGAGATCCAGACTCACACGGAGAGAAACTGGACTGTCTGGCATTGGGCAGAACTTAAGGGCAGCTTTCTCTCAGAGGTGCTTGAGCTATTACCTCAGGACAATGAGACTCGGGGCCTCTTAGGGCAGGGCTGAGGAGCAGCCATAGCTGTTTGCTCCGCCCTGTTGATCCCCTGAGATCCTGCCCAACCCAAGCTGTGTGCTGAGCTTTTTGCATATGATGGTCAGGCCCTTTGCAATCTAAAATTACCTAACGCACTGCAGCTTGGATCAGAGAGACGCAGAACATCCAAAAGAAGGCCAAAGGCCCTACAGCAGCTTGCATTGCTTCACAGCTAGGCCTCATCTGGGCACCTCCAAATCCCAAACAAAAAAGAGGAATCTGATGATCTCTCTGCAGCTCCTGCTCGGTAGCCTCACGCAGGGGCTAAATTAGCACCTCCTTAGAGACCCAAGAGCCAGTGTCCCCAGTGGTCAGATTGGGACCATCCAGATTACAACTCCTCAGATCCATAAGGGACACACTCAGGGGGAAGACTCAGTGAGCAACAAAGCCCCACTGAAGCAACTCTTGCCCCATAAGGGTGTCCCCAGTACAGAAGTTCTCCCACCGTAGACACAGCTGCATCTCACAGCCAATTGGCCTGGAGGTCAATTCCTCCCACTGTTACCAACAACAATCAAGGCTTAACTACAACAAGACTGTGCACACAGCCCACAAAGGGGTGCACCAAGAGTGTCCACCTCAGGTAATTGGGGAGCTGAGCCACTGGGCCCTCTAGGACACCTAGGACAGAAAGCCACTCTATGAACACAGGGAAGCAGCCGAAATGTGGAGACAAAGAAAAAGGTCACAAGTGACAGAAATGGAGGAAAGCAAACTACTGGATATAGAGTTCAAAACCACGGTTATAAGGTTTTTTAAGAATTTTCTAGAAACTGCCAATAATTTTAGTGAGACCCTAAATAAATCCAGTGAGGCCCTCGAGGATATGAAAAAGGACCAACTAGAAATTAAGCATACACTGACTGAAATAAAGAATATTATACAGAGATCCAACAGCAGACTAGAGGCTCGCAAGAATCAAGTCAAAGATTTGAAATACGGAGAAACAAAAAAAAAACCAACAGGAAAATCAAAAAGAATCCAAAAATATGAAGATAGTGTAAGGCGCCTCTGGGAAAACATCAAGCATACCAATATCCAAATTCTAGGAGTGCCAGAAGAAGAGAGAGAGCAAGATTTGAAATTCTAGGGGTGCCAGAAGAAGAGAGAGAGC